GGCGCACGGAACGCTGTTACCTTCCCACTGAAGTGGTCCCTATTTATCTACTTGCAATTTCTTGCTTTCGAACTGCTCGGTTGGCAGGAGCTGGGACCAGAGATGGGAGCTCACTCCGTCATGCAGCACCCGGGTCTTGAACTGCTGAACTACTGACCTTCCACAGCCTGCAGTTCAGCGTCTTAACCACTTGAGCCACCGCGGCTCCCAAAAAAAAAAAGGTGTGAGCCAGAGGCTAAAAAACTGTGAGCCAGCTCACACTAACTCAGCTCAGAGGGAACACTGGTGCAGAGGAGAGCGACGAAGATGATCGGGGGCCTGGAGACCAAGAAGCCCTACGAGGAAAGGCTGAGGGACTTGGAGATGTTCAGCCTGGAGAAGAGGAGGTAGAGGGGGGACAGGAAGCTGTTCCTGTTGGCGGCAGAGGAGAGGACTCGCAAGAATGGGTTTCAATTAAGAGCGGGAAGGTTCCAGCTGGATCTGAGGGGAAACGTTTTGACAGTCAGAGTTGTGCAACGGTGGAATCGGCTGCCTCGGGAGGTGGTGAGCTCCCCCTTCCTGGCAGTCTTCAAGCAGCGGCTGGACAAACCCTTGCCAGGGATGCTCTAGGCCAGGGATGTCGAACTCATTTGTTATGAGGGCCGGATGTGACATAAATGAGACCTTGTCGGGCCGGGCCGTGGGTGTCATAAAATGTAATGCCAGGTAGCGGAGAGATGAACTTTATAAAGGACACAGAACACAAATACTTAAAAATACAAAAACATGCTTAGAACATGAGCACTCTTGCAATATTTTGCTTATTGAACAGTGTCTGGTGAGTGACTGAAACCTCTCGCTCTGAATGATTGCATCAAAATGTCTGTGCTGTTGCAATCTCGAGTATGCCGTTCGGGTGTGAATCCGTAAGCTGCAAAGCAACGATGACGGCGCAGCAGCAGAACTGGGAGAAGACGCAGAAGACAGCCAGTTCCACTGCGGGCCTGACAGAAGCCCTCCGGAGGCCTTATCTGGCCCCCGGGCTGCATGTCTGACACCCCTGCTCTAGGCTGATCCCGCACTGAGCAGGGGGTCGGACTAGGTGGCCTGTATGGCCCCTTTCCGACTCTGCAGTTCTGTGATTCCAAGATGCAACTGGACTCAAATCTAGTTTTTCAACGGCAGCCCAACACGGTTACTCCCTGAAGCTACGTTCAAGAGGAGAAAAGGTTGCCATACTCACGCGTATGGGAAAGTAGTCCCGGAAATACCGCCACACGGCCCAGTTTCGGACCCACTGAGACCTCCTTCCACCTTTGGAGAAGAGAGAGCGTCAATGCCACGGCAAACAGCGGCTGCAGCTTATTTTCAGTCGCGCAGCGACGATCTTTGTGCTGCGGCGGCAGCTGCTGCCAAAGTCGGTGTTTTTAAATACCGGCACAGCCAATCGAATCTCCAACAGCTAATCAGAAACCCGGCCCCAATTGGCGCGCCCCCCCTTTCTAAAAACACTTGGCGGGCACAAGCAAAGGTCTCAGCAAGCACCACTGCCATAGAGCCTGCCCTCTGGAGCTGCCGTTTTCTCTGCAGCCTGGAGATTAAGAGAATTCCAGGCCTCACCCAGAGGCTGGTAACTAGGGATGGGCACGAACCGCAAAAAATGCAGTTCATTCCCGTTTGCGGCCGAACCACTAACCAAACCACAAAACACCGAATCGGAGCCTCTCAGGGTAACTGAACCGGTTTGTGGCCCCAGCAAACCCCGTTGAAAGGGACTGCCGTCTAAATGGGGTTTGCAGAAAGCCCCCCAAAAAGCTAAGCTGCTGCTTCCTGCCGCACAGCTTTTTGGGGCTTTCTTGTGCAGTCCCTTTAACTTTAAAGGGACTGCACAAGAAAGCCCAAAAAAAGCTGAGCAGCAACGAGCATGCCGCTTCCCGCCACTCAGCTGTTTTTCCAGCTTCCACGGGGAGAAGAAAGCAGGGGGTTAAAGGGACTCGGAGTCCCTTTAAACCCCTGCTTTCTGCTCTATCCACGAACCTCCACGAACCACTTTAAAAGTTTGTGGAAGTTCATGAACCATGAACAGGGCAAAATCCGTGACGAATTTTGCTTCGTGGCTCAGTTCGTGCCCATCCCTACTGGTAACCCTGCATGAAACCACGATGGCGCCATGACACGTCCGAATGCGCCTGCAGGGGTGAAACCTAGCCTTGGATGAAAAAGCACCCCTCTTCCCCAGCATACCTTTCACGGGCGTGTTCCAGTCAAAGACCAGCCAGGCGAAATACACCGCCGTGATCACCCAGCAGTCGGTACAAAGGAAGTACAAGAGAACGATTGAGCAACTCACACCTGAGGAAGGAAGAAGAGGGGGGAAAGGAGGAGAATGAGGCCATTGTGCTAAGCCGGGGGGATTTGGGCCAGCGTACAAAACTGCTCCGCACTTGAAGGATTTCCCCCTCCCCCCCGGCTAAGTCGGATTTGGTTCTTCGAGGGCTTAAGCGACGGCCCTTTCGGCTCAAATCTTTCGCAGCGCCCCAGCCACAAGCTGCCTTTAAGGCCGCCTTAGTTACGCAGCCCAGCGTTTTTTCTCTCCCGCTTCAGAGCCTGCAAGGGGGTGATTCGGCTGTTTTAAAAGATTGTGAGCCCTGGAGAGCTACGGAGACCGCCATTGCCTTGGCTTCTGCGTCAGGGGTCCCCAACGCGGCGCCCTCGGGGGCCGCGGTGCCCTCCGATAACTTTCCCACTGCCTGCCAAGTGCTTTCAGAAAGTGGGAGGGTGGGTGTTTGCACAGCAGGGCATCTGATTGGCCGTGCAGATTAAAAGGCATCTCGTTAAACAGAGCTTTGGCCTGAACTGTTGACATTACTACTACAGTTCCATATCCCCTGGCTCCCTGACACTTTTTTGATCGGCTCCACCTCCTCTGGAAGTCATCTGGAGGCTGCGTTCACCACCCTGTGTCAGAATTCCAGTGTTTCCCACAGGCTCAAAAAGAACAGGAGGAGGAGGAGAAGGAGGAGAGGAAGAAGGAGGAAGAAGGAGGAGAAGAAGAGGAAGAAGGAGAAGGGGAAGAAGAGGAGGAGATTGGATTTATACCCCGCCCTTCACTCAGTCTCAGAGCAGCTTACACTCTCCTTTTCCTTCCCCTCCCCACAACATCCCTGTGAGGTAGGCGGGGCTGAGAGAGCTCTCGAGAGAGAACTGCTCTTGAGAGAAGAGCTCAGAGAGAACTTGTGACTGACCCAAGGTCACCCAGCAGCTGCACGTGGAGGACGAGTGGGGAATCAAACCCGCTTCTCCCAGATTAAAGTCCACCGCTCTTAACCACCACACCAATCTACACCAGACTGGTTGGGGGGCCCTGTTCTACATCCGTCACAGACCGCAAGAGAGGCCAGTGTGGCGTAGCTGCTAAAGTGTGGGACCAGGATCTGGAAGGCCCCAGGTTCAAATCCTCACTGGGGCCAGGGAAGCTTGTTGGGTATCCTTGGGCCACTCACACATCCTCGGCCGAATCAACCTCACAGGGCTGTTGTGAGGACAGAATGGAGGGAGGGCGATATGCACCCTCCTTGGTGTCAAGCAAGACAGGATTAAAATTGCCATTAAATAAATGAGATCAAAATAAAAACTGGGAATCTGATCATAGATCTGGGCCTTTGGGAAATAGTCAGGCAAGACTGTAAGGTTGCCATCTCTGGGTTGGGAAATACCTGGACATTTTGAGCTTTTTCTACCTAGTAGAGATAGAGCTGTAAGAGCGATACAGTATTATGTTTTGATTATTCAGTTAATCAGTGGTTTCCAGTTTTTCACAGTCATATGATTTTATCAGTTGTTTGGATTTTCCTTTATATTTGTTTTTTCCTTGTTGTTATAAATCATTTTAAATGGTTTCCCGGCCATTTTAAATTGATATAAAATGTTTGTTGACACAATTCTTTTCACAGTCTCCCCCCCCCCCCCAGATTGAGAATAGCAGATAATGTATTTTAGGGAAGCAGCATTATTGGTAATGTTATAATGCCATAATGATTTATCTAGATCCATTCATTCATTTACGTCTACATTGTCTTGAAGATCTGTAAAAAAAAGTGCCTTCGGTTTATCTTCCTTTCCTCCTCACACCTTTTCTTTTTTTCCCCTGTACCCTATATAAAATTAAAAATTAAGAGGCTCTGCCACTGAGCCATGGCCCATTTCCATCGCTCTCCAGTGTCTCAGGCGGAGGTCTTTCACATCACCTACTGTCTGGTCCTTAACTTAACTGGAGATGCCGGGGATGGAACCTGGGACCTTCGGCATGCCAAGCAGAGGCTCTGCCACTGAGCTACGGCCCTTCTCCGTGGCTCTCCAGGTTCTGAGGCCGAGGTCTTTCACATCACTTTCCATCTGATCCTTTCCATTGGGAGATGCCGGGGATTGAACCTTCTACATGCCAAGCAGCGGCTCTCCCACTGAGCCACCGTCCCTCCGAGTGACAGGTGGCTCTCCCTGGCCGCTCTCACCCCGTTGCTCCCCCAAGCCGATTAACCTCAAGTCTGCGGGTGAGCAAGCCGTGCTGGTGTTTGCGCAGACACAAGGGATCAATGACCTGCCAGTCAGCAGCCTCCTCTTCACAGGATGACCCGAAAGCTGCAGGCCCCTCCCCTTCGCCACGCCCACCTCCCAGGCCCTTTCGATTGGCAGCTGGCAAGGAACTGGGGGAGACTGAACAGAACTCGGTTGCACTGGCAGGCAGGGTGTTGTGAGCAGAGGTCATTTCAGGGGGGATCACAGGGGAACGCAGTTCCCCCAGGTGAGGTGCGGGGGGGGGCACACAATGAAGCCCCACCCCCTGCTTCCGGCCGCCCCGCTTCCAGCCCTCCTTCAGCCAGGAGGAGGCAGGAGAAGAGGGAGGGTAAGTTGCTTCTCCCCGCCTCTCCCCACCCCTGCCTGCCTGCCTGGGGCCAGGGAGGGCCTTGGCGGGGCTTCCTCGCACTCCCGCTGGCCTTGCAGGTCCACCGCCGGGCCCCTGATGTCAGGGGGTGTGGCATATGCTAATGAGTTATGCTAATGAGTTCCCCTAGCTCTTTTTCTATGAAATGACCCCTGGCTGTAGTCAAGGGGGGTCTGCTGAGGAAAGTGGGATGTGCCAAAATCCATGTTAACAAGTGCTTTCTGCTTATGGTTCACAGGATCAGACCCTATTATTTTAGGAGGACTGGGTACTATCTAGAAGACTTACTAGGTCCCAATCCGGAGGAAACTAGTTGTGCTCAGATTCCATTGAAAGCATTGGCCATTATGATAGTCACTTCTGAATTCTGTGTTGAAGAAGCCAAATGTCATTCATGAGATTCAGGAGCCTCTGCTCTCTGCATAAACTACAATTAAAGATTTGTCTGAATTTGAACCTTTTGAGGCAAATACCATGATAAAGACAACAATGCGAAGTGGTAGGGGTGTCACTTTTGAACAAACCCCCCAAATATTAGGTGGGTAGTGGAAAGGCAAATGATGACCAATCTGGAAAAGAAAAGAAAAAAGTGCTGATTTTTCCAAAAATTTCCATTTTTTTCCCCGGAAAAAAACGGGAAAACAACGGGGCTTTTTCCCCGAGCTTCAAAATTTCCGGAAATTTTACATCTCTACTCAGCTTAGAGGGAACACTGGTTGCGAGATGAAAACACAGCGGGGGGGGGGGCGGGAGAGACGATTCGGGGCTCTGGGGCCGATTCGAGGCTCTGGGTCCTGACTCGAGAGGGGCAGGAGAAAAGCAGGCATAAGAATGAAAATTTTAAAAACTGGATGTTCTTCCCTCCCTTCAGTTTCTGGGTTCTCCTGTTCTTTTCCACTGAGGGTTGCCAGCTCCGGGCTGGGAAACGCCTGGAGATTTTGGGGGTGGAGTCTGAGGAGGGGAGGATTTGGAGAGGGGAGGGGCTTTCGTGGGGTATGATGCCATAGAGTCCGCCATCTGCTCCAGGGGGAACTGATTTCTGTCGCCTGGAGATCAGCCGAAATCCCAGGGGATCTCCAGCCACCACCTGGAGGTTGGCAACCAATCTTCCCCTCCGAAGCCTCCTTGTTTTATTTATTATAAAGAAGGTCTGCCTTCCTTCAGGCTTCTGCTTCCCTGTTGGATATCCTGTTCCCCTTCTTTCCAGCACTTTCCCTCTTAGCTCCGAAACTGGGAGAGGAAGCATATTTTACACACACACACACACCCTCAGGGGGGTGCCTCCTGCCTGCAGGTTTCATTCCCAGCTGCCACTCACAGCAGTGGCAAGAGAAAAAAAAAGAAAAAGAAAAAAGCAGCCTCGTGATCTTTCCGGAAATTCTTACAGGAAGTGACGAAGAGTAGATCTAGGAATCGCCGGAAACTCTTCTGGCTTTTACCACAGAGGTCCCGCAAGTTCCTAGAGCTACCCTTCGTCACTTCCTGTGCGAATTTCCAGAAAGTACGCAAGACTGCTTCCCCCCCCCAAAAACCGAAAAACTCCTCCCCCCCCCCCCGATTTTTCTCCCACAACAGTCCCCCTCCCCCCAACATTCCATCTGCCAGTTGCTAGGCCTGGCAGCCTTAGACCACTCTCATTCCAAGGATATCCACACGGGCTGAATCGGGTCATAACCAGTGTTCCCTCTAAGCTGAGTTAGTGTGAGCTGGCTCACGGGTTTTCAGCCTCCGGCTCACACATTTTTGTCTTGGCTCAGGAAGGAGGGCTCCAGAGCTGACTGATTTATGCAGCAGCCAAATCGCTCACTCACAAATTTAACGCCAGTAGCTCACAAAGGGGAATTTTTGCTCACAACACTCCACATCTTAGAGGGAGCATTGGAACTTGGGTCATGCGGACAGCCGAGGCAGAAGGGAAAATCTAAGTGTGTCTCAGAAAAGAAAACAACTGCCAACCTAGCTGTTCGAAAGCAAGAAATTGCAAGTAGATAAATAGGGACCACTTCGGTGGGAAGGTAACAGCGTCCCGTGCACCTTGGTGTTTAGTCATGCCGGCCACATGACCACGGAAACGTCTTTGGACAGCGCTGGCTCTTCGGCTATGAAACAGAGATGAGCACCACAACCCTAGAGTCGGATTCGACTGGCTTTCGAGCAAGGGAACCTTTACCTTTACAGAAAAGAGCAGTCAGCTGTGTCCTCCGACGTGCGCAAAACCAAACCCAGAGACAGTCCTGCCGAGTGTTCCCGCTAAGCTGAGTCAGCGTGAGCCAGCTCACAGTTATTTAGCCTCCGGCTCACACGTTTTCTGCCTTGGCTCAGGAAGGAGGGCTCCAGGGCAGACTAATCTACGCAGGAGCCACATCGCTCGCTCACAGCTTTAATACCAGTAGCTCACAAAGTAGAATTTTTTGCCCACAAGACTCCACAGCTTAGAGGGAGCATTGCTCACAACACCTTGCCTCGCCCCTCGAGCCTTCGGGCAGTCGCGGCACTTACCCAGGAACAGGAACGTCAGGATCCACTGCATCACGGATATAATCTGCAGCTGCTTCTCAACTTTGGATTTGGAGAGCCAGGACAGATCCTGAAGCGCCGAAAGGACGCTGGAACCCCTCCCTGGAGACGAAAGAAGAGAAGGAACTTAATAATATAATAATAATATACTTTATTGTCATTGTACATAGTACAACGAAATTAAAGGTGCAATCATTTGGTGATCTACAACCATACTCATACACTCACACAACCATTCACAACCATCCCATAACTCCCTTAAGGTTCACATTGCAACCTAAACCACCAATGTCACCCAAATTCCAATTTCATACAGCATTTAAAGCAATAATAGCTCTCGAATAAAAACTGTTTTTTAATCTGTTTGTCCTTGTTTTAAATGTCCTATATCTTCTACCTGAAGGCAGCAGTTCAAACAGGGAGTGTTCAGGGTGTGACAAATCCTGCAAAATGTTCTTTGCTTTTTTCAAGCATCGAGAACTATACTCTCTCCTCGGAAGTACAGAGTTAACATAACTGCATTGTTATGGACCAACCTACAGGTGCCTTGGAAGCGTAAGAATTGATTTGCTGCACCGGCATAAGCCCAGTTTCTCCGTCTCCCCCACTTTGACTGTGCAATACGGACCCAGAGGTTGTTGATCCTCTCCGGGGTAACCCTTTTTCTCTTACTAAGTTTCCCTTTGCCTTTCTTAGCCCTTGGTCAGTCCTTGTTTTACTAAGGTTTTTAGCTTTTTTGGCTTCCACGGCTGCATTTTCTGGCGTTTTGTGGCAGGGGAGGAGCTTTCGTGAGTCGCTGCTCACTTCCTCAGAGACAGCTGGAACGTGAGCCCATCTGTCCTTATATCACAGGGATGATGGATCCCCATTCTGTACAGCTAAATGTGGGGCCGTCCATGGAGATAGATCAAGATAGGTAGTCCTGCCAGTCTGTCTGTTGCAGTAGAAAAGACCAGGAGTCCGGGAGCACCTTAAAGACTCACAAAATTAGTGGCAGGGGAGGAGCTTTCGTGAGTCACTGCTCACTTCTTCAGATACAGCAGTGACGCTCGAAACCTCCCACCCTAACACATGCTGTAGTGCCCCCCACCCCCCCCCCCCCTGCCACAAGTTTTGTAAGTCTTCAAGGTGCTACGGCAGGGGGTGGCCAAACTGCAGCTCGGGAGCCGCACGCGGCTCTTTCACACAGTCTAATTTAATGTTAATAAAAAGCAAATCTGCACATTTTCCAATAAAGACATGTGTGTAATCAGGGGTCAATTCCTGCAGGAGCGCACAGGAGCGGAGCTCCGGCAGTAAAGAGCCCAGGGGGCGGGCACACGCAACAAGCCCCACCCCCTGCTCCCAGCAGCCCCAGGCCACGAGGATCAAGAAGCCTCTTTCTTCCTTCCTTCTTCTCGTCTCCCTTTCCCTCCTTATTTCCTTCTCTCCCTCTTTCTTTCCCTCTTTCCCTCCTTCTTTCCTTCTCTTACTTTCCCTTTCCCTCCTTCTTTCCTTCTCTTTTCCCCTCCTTCCTTCCTAGACCTGCGCGTTCCCCCCCCCTCCAGGGAGCAATCCAAAACAGTCCAGTGGCACATTTAAGACCAAGTTTTATTCAGGAACAAGCTCTCCCTCCTCTGTGAGGACAGATCTGCACGTTCCCCCCCCCCCAATAGCTAGCAACCCAAAACAGTCCAGTGGAGCCTGAGCGGTGGGTGTTGCCTTCTGACACACTTCCGGTGAGGTCAGGGGGTGTGGCATATGAAAATAAGTTACGCTAATGAGCTACGCTAATGAGCTCCTGCGCCCCTTTTCCTACGAAACAACCCCTGTGTGTAATATTTGCTCATGACTTGCGGCTCTCAAACATCTGACGTTTATTCCGTGTGGCTGTTAACGTTAAGTAAGTTTGGCCACCCCTGTGCGATGGGACTCTTGCCCCCTTTTCCATTTCTTCTTTAAACGGAGTTCCTTCTTCACTAGAGTGAGTACTGATGACAAAAAGAACACTTCCAGGAGAAGGCGGTCTCCTCAGCCTCCAGAATGAGGTGAGGGAAAAACAGAGACAAGCCCTGGAGATCTGAGGGTCATGGGATCGTTTTGGCGGGAAACGCCAGAGGGAGGACTGGAAATTCGACTGGGATGCTTCGGAAATCTTTTCCCGCGGCTGGCTTGCGCACTTGCAGTCCCCAGTGTGGGACTGCACAGAAGCCATGACGGTGAAAGCCATGCATGCTACCCTGAGCCCCTGGTTGGACAAGGAAGAAGACCACATGAACCCCCCCACACATGAAAAACCCATAGGCAAGTTTTATTCCACATGAACACATGAACCTGCCTTATGCCAAATCAGACCATTGGTCCATCACAGTCGGTATTGTCTACTCAGACTGGCAGCTGCTCTCCAGGGTCTCAGGCAGAGGTCTTTCCCATCACCTCCTGCCTGGTCTTTTTAACTGGAGATGCCGGGGATTGAACCTGGGACCTTCTGCACGCCAAGCAGATGCTCTGTCACTGAGCCACAGCCCCTCTCCATGGCTCTCCAGGGTCTCAGGTGGAGGTCTTTCCCATCACCTACTGCCAGGTCCTTTTTAACTGGAGATGCCAGGGATTGAACCGGGGACCTTCTGCATGCCAAGCAGATGCTCTTCCACTGAGCGACAGCCCCTATCTATGCCTCTCCAGGGTCTCAGGCTGAGGTCTTTCCCATCATCTACTGCCTGATCCTTTTAACTGGAGATGCCGGGGCCAGGGACCTTCCGCGTGCCAAGCAGAGGCTCTACCACTGAGCCACAGTCCCTCCTTACAGCTCTCCAGGATCTCAAGCAGAGGTCTTTCACATCACCTGGTCCTTTTTAAGTGGAGATGCTGGGGATTGAACTTGGGACCATCTGCATGCCAAGCAGAGGCTCTACCACTGAGCCACGGCCCCTGTCTCTGTCGGGTCTCAGGCAGGGGTCTTTCCCATCACCTCCTGCCTGGTCCTTTTTAACTGGAGATGCCGGGGATTGAACTGGGGACCTTCTGCAGGCCAAACAGAGGCTCTTCCACTGAGCCACAGCCCCTCCCCTAAACATGAAACAAAAAAAACCCTCTTTGCCTGCTGTTGGAAGACACCAATAGAGGGGGAAAGACGAATCTCCCTGAAGATCGATGGCCACGGCTCTGACCCGCCGTTTTTATATTCACCTCTCTTCCAGGAAGGTGGGATGAATAGCGGGGCGATACCTCCTCCAAAAATCAAAAGGCAGGGTTCCTCACAAGTAAATGATTGGCAAGTGACCAAAGATATGTGGCCGCATTGCCCCGAAAATTCCTCTCCCCCCGGCCAGCAGATGTCAGTTGTGGATACAACTAAAGTCAATGACCTTCAAAAATTCAAGCACAGCTCTCTCCGGCTCTGCACACCCACAGCAGGAGAAAGAGTCCAAGCCGGGAAGATTCCAGCCAACTTTGTATTTTTAAAGGTTAAGAAGCGAGTTGCGGGCTGTTTTCACTTCCTAGCGGACCGGACTGTGGAAAGCAACTTTTTGGCAGGCCCCGATTTTGTTTACAAGCCGATTCTCTAATCGGTAAGCGAGAGGGAGGCTGGGAGAAGTTACACATTGACAGACCGGCCCCAAACACGCAGAAAATCCCCAAGAGCCTTTGCAGACCAGAGCTCGACTTCTGGTTTTAATGATCCCCAAGTCGCTGGTGTTTTACACAAGCGGATACCTTTGGGGTGGGGGGGGCAGCAGTCAGAGGGAGACACCCCCCACACACTTTTTTTTTAAGATTGGGTTTATACCCCACCTTTCACTAACCGAAGGAGTCTCCAAGCGGCTTACAAATCTCCTTTCCCTTCCCCTCTCCACAACAGACACCCTGTGAGGTAGGTGGGGCTGAGAGAGCTCTCTCGAGGACTGTCCTTGAGAGAACAGCTCTGAGAGAACTTGTGACTGACCCAGGGTCACACCGGCAGCTGCATGGGGAGGAGCGGGGAACCAAACCCGGTTCTCCCAGATTAGAGTCCTGCGCTCCTAACCGCTACACCAAACTGGCTCTCTGGCAGGCACCATATTGTCCTGGAGATTCTCCCGTTCTATCCTACCATACACAAACACACCCCAGTTGTACCCTAAAATCTGATGCATGCTCAGCTGACGCCCTGCCGTTTGCTCCTCCTGCAAACTTTGAGGAAAGCAATCCCCGAGGTTTCAAGCCATTTTTTTTTAATGTTATCAAGGTCATAATGCAGTGTTGAGCGTGCCCAGGTGAAAAAGAATGCAGGACTCCTTCAGAGTTCCTGAACTGATGAACACCTCGAGCTGCCTTCTACTGAATCGGATCCCTCTACTGGATAGATCCCCCCGGTTCATAAAGGTCAGGACTGTCTACTCAGATGGGCAGTGGCTCTGTAGGGTTTCAGACAGAGGTCTTTCATGTCAACTATTATCTGGTCCTCCTTTTTAATTGGAGATGTCGGGGACTGAACCTGGGACCTTCTGCGTGACAAGCAGAGGCTCTGCCACTGAGCCACAGCCTCCCTCCACAGCTCTCCAGGGTCTCAGGCTGAGGTCTTTCCCATCACCTACTACCAGGTCCTTTTTAAGTGGAGATGACGGGGATTGAACCGGGGACCTTCTGCATGCCAAGCAGAGGCTCTGCCACTGAGCCACATCCCTTCTCCATGGCTCTCCAGGGTCTCAGGGTGAGGTCTTTCCCATCACCTCCTGTCTGGTCCTTTTTAACTGGGGCCGATGGGGATTGAACCGGGGACCTCTTGCATGCCAAGCAGAGGCTCTGCCAACTGAGCCACAGTCCCTGTCTATGTCTTTCCAAGGTCTCAGGCAGATGTCTTTCACATCACCTACTGCCTGATCCTTTTAACTGGAGATGTTGGGGATTGAACCTGGGACCTTCTGCATGCCAAGCAGAGGCTCTGCCACTGAGCCACAGCTCCTCACCACAGCTCTCCAGGGTCTCAGGGTGAGGTCTTTCACATCACCTCCTGTCTGGTCCTTTTTTAACTGGTAACTGCTCAGTGCACCAACGGTCCCAGGTTTAATCCACAGCATCTCCAGTTAAAAGGACCAGGCAGGAGGGGATGGGAAAGACCTCAGCCTGAGACCCTGGAGAGACATAGACAAGGGCTGTGACTTAGTGCTAGAGCATCTGCTTGGCGTGCAGAAGGTCAAAGGTTCAATCCCCGGCATCTCCAGTTAAAAGGACCAGGCAGGAGGGGATGGGAAAGACCTCAGCCTGAGACCCTGGAGAGACATAGACAAGGGCTGTGACTTAGTGCTAGAGCATCTGCTTGGCGTGCAGAAGGTCAAAGGTTCAATCCCCGGCATCTCCAGTTAAAAGGACCAGGCAGGAGGGGATGGGAAAGACCTCAGCCTGAGACCCTGGAGAGCCGCTGCCAGTCTGAGTAGACAAAATTGACCTTGATGAACCAAGGAACGAATTCAGTATAAGGCAGCTTCATGTATGTGAAACTTAACATGAGGATTAGCCAATGCAGATGCATAGAAAAATCACGGGTACCCTGTACACAGATTGTACTTGCATTCCCTGTCACTTGTGAATGGGGTTACTGTACTGAGTGGCGTTGAGCAGCCAATTCTCAGGGTAAGGTAAAGGTAAAGGTTCCCTTGCTCGAAAGCCAGTCGAATCCGACTCTAGGGTTGCGGTGCTCATCTCCGTTTCAAAGCCGAAGAGCCAGCGCTGTCCGAAGACGTTTCCGTGGTCATGTGGCCGGCATGACTAAACACAAAGGCGCACGGAACGCTGTTACCTTCCCACCAAAGTGGTCCCTATTTATCTACTTGCAATTCCTTGCTTTCGAACTGCTAGGTTGGCAGGAGCTGGAACTAGAAACGGGAGCTCACTCCGTCATGCGGCACACTCGGGTCTCGAACTGCTGAACTACTGACCTTCCACGGCCTGCAGGTCAGCGTCTTAACCACTTGAGCCACCGCAGCTCCTCAGCTTCTCAGGGTAAGTCTTGAGTAATTTGACACGAAAAGCATTCAAAACCAGAACAGTTCCCAAAGCACGTCACGGTAATTCAAGCCTCAGGTTTCCCAGCTGTCAAAACCCCTACCAAGTGCTCTGTGCCATTTTTCAAGTTGCGCAATCTCACAGTCGAGGGCTTTCCCACGTCTCGATTCTATTCATCCCTTTCGGACCACTCTCAGGATTAACAAAGAGCACCAGGCACTCCAAGCGGCCCACAAGGAAATGTATCCCCACTTCGGGGAGGGTCAGATTTCGAACGCAGAGCCAAGATTCCACACCACACAGGTACCCGGCCAAACAAACGGCTGCTAGGTTGGGCATTTCAGAAGTCCAGCTGAGATTCTCAAGGAGATTGATTGACCGATCCCCGACAGCATTACTGCAATCAACTCCATTATTTCAATCGACTTGGACTGGAGTAACTCCACCAAGGATTGCATAATAAAACACAGAGACTAAATTCACGGTTTATAAGCAACGTCTCCGCAACAACCCAAATTGCTTACTCTACCTAGCGGCCTAAGTTTACAGTTCCTAAAAACCCAAAGTTCTGTTAAGTACCTCGGAGAAAGACATACCCCAAAGACATACACACAACTCTGGATTCAGGCATCATGACCGGACCAGAGTTTGCCAAGAACAATGCTGATTTATTATTGCGTTCATGCGCTCCTAACTAATACCTTCCTGTGCCGAACAGAGACTGAAGTCTTCCTGATGTAGGAAAGCAGTGTTCCCTCTAAGCTGAGTTAGTGTGAGCCAGCTCACTGTTTAGAAGAAAAAGAGATTGGATTTATACCTTGCTGTTCGCTACCCGAAGGAGTCTCAGAGCGTCTTACAATCTCCTTACCCTTCCCCTCCCCACAACAGACACCCTGTGAGGTAAAAGAAAAAGATTGGATTTATACCCCGCCCTTCACTCCCCAAAGGTGTCTCAGAGCGGCCTACAAACTCCTCTCCCTTCCCCTCCCCACAACAGACACCCTGTGAGGTAAAAGAAGAAGAAGAAGAGATTGGATTTATACCCCGCCCTTCACTACCCAAAGGAGTCTCAGAGTGGCTTACAAACTCCTTTCCCTTCCCCTCCCCACAACAGACACCCTTGGGGCTGAGAGAGCTCTTGACAGAAACGGCTCTTTTTCAAGAACAGCTCTTATACTGGGAGGTAGGCGGGGCTGAGAGCACTCTGACAGAAACAGTTCTTTTTCAAGG